ATCCCTAATCATCTAAAATACTTATCCATCTTTTTCGATAATAATAGGTTCAACCTACCTTGTAGATGATTGCATTTGACCCCTACCCATGCCTCTGCTGCCTATGCTCCAACCATGATAACGACTGGGCGGTAGCGATTGGATTATGCTATTGGTGCTTCTTCTGGGTAAACAGGCCCACCTTTTATCTTCAACCCGGATGAACCACTTATCGCTGTGGCCCTGCCTCGTACCTATGCTGTTGGTCCAACTGAACCTCAGACTTTGATATGTAGTGCAGGAGGATAAACCTATATAGCCATTTACGGATTTACCCTAAACCTTTTTACTCTTTCCTCACTATAAATAAAGGCCTTTGTTGCTCAGAGACTCCAAAATGGACAATATTTCATGTGTCGACGCTGATATCCATATTAACACACGTGCTAACATGCACAGTCTGTACATTTCTGTAACTTCCATTAAATTTGTCCTATTATTGTGACCATGCTGGCTCACAATAGTGAAATGAGAAATTTACCAGAACACACCTAAAGTATCTAGTATTGAACATTTCATACATTTATCAAAACACACCTAAATACCTGCTATTTTCTTACTTATGATTGTGTCATGTGATGGACTTTTAGAATTTGAATCAAAAGAAATGTGTGAGACATTACATATATTTTCTCTTTGGTGTTTTTTGATAAATTTCCCTGATGAAAATTAGCAATAATTTATTGTTAGGGACAGGCTGGGTTTGTCATTCAAGAAGCAGGGAAAAGCTGCATTTATTGTTTATGATTCCAAGTAAAGCTAACCCTACGTTTCATAAATCTGGTTTTATAAATGTAATCTTTAACTTGGAGTGATCTGTCACTGGGCTGTCTCTTAAATACATTAAAATAGTGTTTTTTTTTTTTCCTTTGATTTGTACTTTAGAAACACTTTCGGTTCATTATTTTGAGTAGTTTTCATGAATTTTATGAAAAAATTATGTTTTGATACTATTTCTTGGGGAGATTTACCTATAGAACCCAACATAGTTTTTGGAACTAAAAAATGGTCGATTATTTTTTAGGGCATTTTTATGGTGTGGTTTAAACTTATCAAGTTTTTTATTTCCATTTTACTCATAATTTGAATATCTAATTTTTGAACTGCGCAAAAGACAATAAGAATACTGAGTGTTTGGGCAGTTCAAATATTGGACTTTTGAATTGGAACATTTGGTACTTTCTATATATGTTTAGGGCAGTCTGATCATCCAACTTTCAAACTATTTGAACATTTCTGTTGTGTTTTTGGTTGTTTGAAGTTAGTTTTTCAAACCACCCAAATCTTTAGTATCTTTGTCTTTTGGGTGGTTCAAAAATCTTGTCTTTTAGGTTGTTCAAAAGTTAGACTTTCAAGTCAAGGTAAAATTGAAATAAAAAATTTGAAAATTTTGGACCTATGTAAATTGTCCCAAACTATATACTTTTTTTTATTTCCGCGATATTATTTTAAGTCCATATGTAAATTTCCCACATTCTTAATGTTTTTACTTTTATTGTATATTTATTATACATTATATATGTTACTTAATAGTGCAAAATTTTGTTCACTATTTTATGTTGCACTATGCATGTGTATACTTTGTATTGATGTTTCTTACAATTTCTCAAATTTTGGCTGCTGAATCTTACACCTTGGATGTGTCCAATGCCACATGCGCATCCATGTCTAGGTAACATAGAATGAAAAAAAGAATTGGAAAACTGATAATCATAGTTGAACTTTGTTTTGAGACTTTCTTGGCTATGAAATTTTTTGCAATCTAGTTTCTTTTCCTGATGTGAAATGTCTCCAACTTCTCCCTCCTTTCAGCAGCCAATTTGCTTGAAATGGCAAGAACAAGACTTCATCGAATGACCCGAAGGACTAGATCCTCACCCTACACTGTAATGACACGGAGCCAAAATAAGGGGCAACAAACCCTAAAAGAGCCTACCTCAAAGAAAGATTGGGAAGATGCAACATGCTCCGTGTGCATGGAGTACCCCCACAATGCAGTCCTCCTTTTATGCTCCTCCCATGACAAGGGTTGCCGCCCTTACATGTGTGGCACTGGCTACAAATTCTCTAACTGCCTCAACCAATTCAAGAAGGCTTATGCCACCACCTCGAAAACCCCAAGATGCTATCCCCCTACTGAAACTAATGTTGGAGATTGCTCAAGCGAGCTTACTTGTCCTCTTTGTCGAGGTCAGGTGAAGGGGTGGACAGTGGTGGATGGTGCACGAGAGTTCTTGAACACAAAGAGAAGGGGGTGTGTGCAAGGCTCGTGTATGTATTCAGGGACATATGAGGAGCTTAGGCGGCATATGAGGACGAAGCACAAAGGGGCGGGTAGGCAAGAGGTGGACCCTGCAAGGCGGAGGGATTGGGCCCGCATGGAGCAAGAGAGAGAGAGGGATGATGTGATGAGCACGATTAGGTCTACAATGCCTGGTGCTATTGTGCTTGGTGACTATGTTATAGAACATGGTGGGGGTAGTGGGGCCCACGCGTATGACAGAGATTGGTTGGACTTTTTGCTTTTGGAGACGGCGAGGATGAGGCGGCTCGGGAGATTTTATCATGGGGTCGGGGGTTTGGGGGGACCCAATTTGATGCAGAGGCTGAGGTCTGAGGACCTATTGGATGACGATGATACCCATGACATCTATGATATTCATGATGATGATGACGACGACGACAATGATGATGATGATGATGGTGATGGTGACAACGCGGTTGGTGGGGATGATGAGGGTGATGGTAACAGTGATGGTGGGGGTGGGTATGAAGGTGGTCCTCGGTTTTCACCTATCAATGACAGAGAAAGGCGCAGGAGTATGGTGGCGGGGAGGAGCCGCAGGAGATCATTGGCGGACCTAACCTGAGTATGGGAGTATGTTTGTATGTCGTGTTTACATGTAGCGAGTCTGGTAATTGCAACATTTCTTCTTCTTGTTGATAGCTAGGTTGGGTTCAAACACAAAAGCTCAAGGTGGCAACATCATGTACCTCCTAGTTGAGCTATGAGCTTGAATACCCTTCCTCAACTGTTGGATTCAAACCTACAACCTCAGGTCGCAACATTATGCACCTCTCTCAGTAGCATTATCCATTTCGAGATCCAAGAAGCAGGATCTATTTGGATTTAGAAAATTCGGGCTGTCTGGGATCTGATCGGGGGAAACCTAATCAACCCTTTAATTGACCCCAAACTGCATTTGGTAGTATGCGTTTGGGGCCTAGTCATTGTATGCTATACAGTGGGTATTTTGTTATATTGGAAGGAAAATGCAGATTTTTTCAATGCGAGTATAGTGTATGAACCTGGCCTTCTCAAATAGGTAGAATGAATGGGCTTTCATAATTTTTAATCTATACATTTCACTTGTGGAAATGATCATTTTGCTATATAATGTGCATGTTCGCTTATGGGTTTCCTTTAATTAAAATAAATGGGTGGTGTTACGATTGATATTTATTTCCTTTCTCAACAATTAATAGTTTAAACGTTTTAAATTATTTCAACTCATAGTCCTTTGTATTTTGATGAGTGTTTTGAAATTAAATAAAAAGATATCGGTGAAATTTTAATGGAAAAAGTTTATATAAGGGTACAACCTAAAAATGTAGAATTAAAGATGCACCTACAAAGTCCATCGGAAAAGATTGTTTTAAAGTTGAAAACCTTTTTAATTGATCATCTCGATATCGAAATGTATGAATGTGGCAAAAAAAAAAAATTTGAGTCTCAGAAATAGTGCATCTTGCAATATATTATCTAGACTGTTTATTTTCAAGATTTTCATATGTTTATACATCTATTTAATTTTAACTCTTTTTTAATTTTAAAATTTTATAATTAGATATGAAAATAAAGATAATCTTAAGAATTTTTTACACCAAAATTACATGTTATGATAAAATTTGGACGTGATGTCTTAATCGGATTGTTTAAGGCCTTATAGAAACATCCCACCATGTTAAATTGTTTAACTCATATATATTCTAATAAATTTCTTATTTCAAAAATCTTTTGCTCAAGAAAAAGGCTTCTGGACCTCAACATGATGTCCCACCCACTATTCACATGATTAACATATCAAGGAAAATAAAATAAAATAGAGCAACTTTGGTAAATACTATCACCTATGGTTCATTAAATATTCAGCTACACAAAAATTGCTTAATGTAAAGCATAAGCTGATTGGGTGGAAGGAAGAAAATAAGTATAAGTTAAGTGCCAAAATTGTTAGGGTGGTGGAGGAAATTCAGAAAATTGATAAGACTATGCAGAATGAAGGCTTGTTTTTTGAGCAAAGTTTTTTTTATCAAGGATCCAAAAAGTTAAACTCCTCGAATGAATTCCGTAGCACCGAAGAAATTTATTGGAGGCAGAGGTCCCGTGTCAAGTGGCTTAAGGAAGGGGATCTGAACACTAAGTTTTTTTGATTCTATGGCTAGTGCTCGTAGGAGGCAGAACGACATTTTTGAGTTGTCCATTCATAGAACCGGATGATAAAGAGGGGCATGATCGGGCTGTCATTGAACACTTTCGTAACGCTTTTACCTCGGAAGTTCGCTTTGCTCCCAAGATGGACCGTATTCCATTTAAAAATCTCCTGGTGGATTTGGCTGGTATATTGGAAGAGGATGTAACTATGGAAGAACTGAAGGCTACAATTTTCTCTTTGGCAGGTGATAAAGCACCAGGGCCAGAGGGTTTCCCTTTGTGTTTCTTTTATAAGTTTTGGTCTATGCTATTTGGGGAACTTCAAGGGATGGTGCATAATTGTTTTTTAAGGGGGAAGTTATTCAAGGGGATTAATTCAACTTTTAATGCCCTTATTCCAAAAAGATATGTTATTGTGGAGCTCTCTAATATTAGGCTAATAGGTCAGCTGGTAAGATTATTGCTAAGGTTTTGGCGATAAGGTTAAAGAATGTTCTACAGTTTGTACTTTCAGGACCAGAAGCAGCCTTGATCCAAAATAGGCTAATAACTGATAGTGTGCTAGTGGCTCAAGAGTGTTTTTATTCAAGAGTCGTTTGTGGAGAATCTGGTGTTGTGGATCATATTGGATATAGGGTTTGGAGTGAAATGGTGGAGCTGGATTTATGGTTGTTTATCCTCCGCGTATTTATCGATGCTGATTGATAGTTGCCCAAAAGGTTTCTTTAAAGCCACTAGATGTATCCGTCAAGGGGATCCTTTATCACCATTTCTTTTCAATATCTATGCTAAGTGCTTTAGTCTTATGTTTACTAATGTGGTGAATAGATGTATCTTTTCGGGTTTTCCTATTAGTTAGGATGGACCTATTATTTCTCATCTTCAATACGCAGATGACACTTTTATCTTTGCGGAGGCAAAGAAGAAGAATATTGGCAGATTTTTAAAGTGTTGTGAAGTGGTTGTGAGTCTTGAAGTCAATATTACAAAAACGTCTTTGGTGGGGGTCAATTGTACTAATGAGATGACTGAGGAGTTGGGACGTACCCTTGGTTGTAAAGTTGATACCTGTCCTATCTACTTGGGGTTGCCAATTTTTTATACAAGATTCCCCATCTCCGTTTGGGATAGAGTGATTCAACGTGCCCAAGTGAAACTGGATTTATGAGAACCTAAGTATATGTCTCTTGGGGGGAGAGTGACTCTGTTGCGATCTTGTTAGGCAAATTTACCTATCTATCAGATGTCTCTTCTAAAAATGTCATTATGTGTGGTTAAAAAAATTGAAAGAATGATACGTAATTTCTTATGGGAGTCTTTTGGGAAGGACAAAAAATATCACTTGCTTAGATGGGACATGGTCTATACCCCTAAAAGTGAGGGGGGGGCTTGGAATTAGAATATTATATTTGATGAATGAGGCCTTATTAACTAAATGGTGATGGCATAGTTTGCTTTTCAAATAGCAGCTTTAGTGTAAGGTTCTTATTGCTAAATATAGTGTAGATGGTTTTGGTATTTGAATTAGAGGGAGTAGAAGAAGTGCAGCGTGATCGGCCTTTTGGAGAAATATCTATTCATGTAAAGCTTATCTTCATAGAGATATCTGGTGGTGCGTGGGAAGTGGATCGCTAGTCTCCTTTTGGCATAAGAAGTGGTTAGGTAACTGCCCTTTGAAATTATCATTCCCTGATTTAGTTGCGAAAGTGTCTAATCCTAATGCCTTGATAAGTGACACTTACCAATTAGTAGGGGAGAAAGTGATTTGGTCCATCCAGTTTCCATATAATAGAGTCCAAGAAGACTTTGTGATGCAATATACTGCACTGATGGCGCAATTGCAGGAAGTAGTGATTCTGTCTAGTGTTGAGGAGAGCATAAACAGGATGGATTGTTTTCGGTGAAGCTATGTACTCTCTTTTGTTCCATGATCGCCTTGGATGGTCATTGCCTCAGATTTCACAAGTGTGGAAATGGCCGATACTTCACAAAATAGAGTGTTTCTTGTGGTTGGTTGGGAAAATAAGATCTTAACGGTTGACAACCTCATCAAGAGGAGTAAGGTTTTAGCCAATGTTTGTTTGATGTGCAAAGAAGATGGTGAATATGTTTCACATCTTTTTATTCATTGTCGATTTGCTTCGAAAATTTGGGATTTCTTTCTTAATGTGCTAGGATTCATGGTGGCTTTATCTTAGGATATTCTGGGTATCATTTCTCAATTGGTCTTCCCATTTTGCCAAAGTTGGATCTTAAGTTGTGGCAAATTATTAGATGGGCTATATGCTGGGAAATTTGGAGAGAGAGCATAACTGACGTACCTTTGAAGGGTTTGCACTTTCCTTTGAGTGTATCCTCCGTCGTGTACTCCATTCCACATGGAGTTGGCTTTCTTTCACTAAAGAAGGTAGGGGTATCATGGAGACGGATGTTCGGTTGAATTTAGTTAATCTGGTTTTCTCCAAATTGGTTAATGCAAGGCCTGTTGGCTAGTGGATTCCTCCTTGTCAATGGTGCTTAAAGTTAAACTTTGATGGTAGTTCACTTGGTAATCCAGGTGAAGCAGGCATAGGAGTGGTGAGAGATTGGGCTAGTACAGTCATTATCGCCTATGCTAGACCTATTGGACATGCTACAGTCAATTTTGCTGAGTTCACTTCCTTGCTAAGAGGACTACTGTTCATTAAGTCCATGAACTTGGAACCTAGGGAACTTCATCATGGTGGAAGGCGACTCCTTAAATGTGATTAGCTGGTGTAAGAAGGAACAGAGAGTTCCTTATACGCTTCGGTCAATCTAGGGTCAAGTGATTGATCTGGCGGAGTTACTTTCGTTATCCTTCCATTACGTGTACAGGGAGGCCAAAGGTGTGACTAATGGTTTAGCCAAAAGAGGCGTCTCATTGGTGTCTATTTCTATTCTGAATGATGTAACTGGTCTAATTTTTAGTAATAAAAATTGACAACTTCGATAAAAAAAAAGAAAAAAAAGCAATCAAAGAGGCTTTGGGAAAACGTAGTCAAAGATATTCACTGGCTGGTCGTCATAAAGGGGCATCAAATTATCTAGTTATCTTTTGAAGTTAAATCAAAAGATATCAATAAAATGTTAAATAGTTGAACTCTTTATATATAAATTCTAATACATTTCACTTATTTAAAAGATCATCCGTTTAACGAAGATGCTTCAGGGCCTCAACATAACGTCCCCACCTACCATTCCCATGATTAACATATCATTAAAAATAAAAAAAAAATGGCTTCGAGGAAATCTAGTCGAGGATAATCAAAGGGTAGTCGTCATAAAAGGGCGTAAAGGGGCATCAATTCTCTAGTTGGGAGCTGACCAAGAAGCCCAAGGCTCACACAAAAAGAAAATAGAAGAAGAAAGAAAAGAAGAAGAAAAAATAATGGAATAAAGAATTGGTTTTTGGCTTAAAACCTATTTTTTGGTTAAGTTTAAACCTTGATTTTGAGCATGTTTTCGGATAGTAGATGAAATCTTTCCATTGTTTGGTTTCACCTCTTTATGTGTGTCTTGCTTTCTCTTTTCAAGTTCATATGAATAATAATTTTAAACTTTTTTTTTTTTTTTCTTGGAAGATCTATTTACATGCAATATAATGTTGGTTTTCAAGTTGAAATATTTTCAAATTTTATATTTTCATCAACACTTGATACATGATGAAAATCAAATGAGACCAAGGTTTACGATGGCATCCCATTGGTTTTTTATTCGAATACCCTAAATTTGGCATTTTTTGGTCTATGAAGGGTGACGACCTTAAACCTTCTCTTAACATGTCATGTGCCTAGGTAAAAAGGTTGGGTTGTGTTTGGTAGGCAGCTAATGTAAAATTTTGTCAAAACTTACGATGAATCCTGAACCTGCAGTATCTAGCGGACCAGGATTCGTGTAGCCAACC